GCTCCTGCCTGGCTTTTCTCTGCCTCCTTTCTTCCTGACCTTCCTTCCTGCCGTCTTGGAGCATCATTTTGGAAAATTTGCTAGATCAGAGCCTGCGTAACCGCTAGCACTTATCAGTAGCATCCTCACCTGACCCTTCTCATCCTCTGCTCCCCTCTCTCACACTCATTTGTTGCATCTGGTCCGAAATCAAACTGTAAGCTCCTCAGAGCAGAGCCTTTTCCTTCCAGCTGCCTTTAGCACCAAGCACAACAGTGCCTGGCTGGTATCATTAAGCGCCAAAGCTGTACAAATAAATAAGAATAGTTTTGATTACACAGTTAAATTTCTCATCTAAAATAATTTAAACAGTAGTCACAAGCGGTTATGGTGTTTATAATTCGTATAATAATTTAGGACTGCTAGTTTTTAACTTGTGTAATTTGGATTTGCTTGCAGTTCTCATGGGATAAAGTATATTATTGAACAAGAAAGGAATAAACTACATTCAGAGTAGCTGTAGGGTGCTATGATTTAAAGGAGAGCTGGTGGAATGCTACAGGAGAAAATATGCAGGATCCATTATACTGCTAATGAATGCACAATTCAGATTGGTGATTTAATTTTTAGATCATATTTCTCTGGTACCCTCAGGTATAACAGGCTTCATACATAAAAACTGAGTAAGATGGTATGTATTTATGCCCAGTCATGCAAAAACTGAATAATAATAAAAAATTACTTTCCCGTATTGTTTATTCATTTGCAGTTTTTTTTTTTTTTAATGACATAGCATTCAAAAAGCACTATTAGAAGGGCACAACCATAGTTGCTGGTAGCAGTTTTGAACCCTTTGAGGCAGCTTGGTATTTATCTATAGCTATGGACTGTCACTGTATTTAAGCCATGACTAGAGCATCATTTTTTGGTCTGGCCAGGAGCTTTCTTGAAATAGTCACCATTTCCTTCCTCAGGCAAGGTGGCAGATTGGTGATATTTTAAACTCTCTCTTGGCTAAGAGACAAATCCCAAAGTCCTTGTTTTTGCAAGCAGACCCGACTGATGTAAGCAACCTATTCCTGCAGGGGCCACACCCCTGAATAATTGTCAGAAATGACATTATGCAGTGACTTCTAGCTTTACAAAATGTGATTTTTTTTTGTCCATTTTTTATATTGACATGTTAATTGTAAGCTTTTTCTACCGTCCTTTTTCTGAAATGTGAACAGATGTCCAACTTTTTAAGAAGCCACATATTACAATGGACTGCATTTTAAATCGTACAACTGCATCTGCAGAATGAATCTGAAAAGCTCTGAAAATACACAAAGAAAAGAAGATGCAATCAAAAGAAATTCTGCCTGGCCTTCCAGGTTGTACACCTGCTATTTTAATTTTTTTTTTTAATCTCTTAGAACTACAGTATCGCTTCTTAAATGAATTTGAACAACTCACCCAAGAGACATTCTAATCCGATCGTGTATTATGATGATACCAGTTGGATGTTATCCTGTTAGGCACTCACTGTAAATAAGGGATTTTCCACTGACTTTTAAATCCTTGATTAATGAGAATGCTCGAAGCAGTGTCCTGTAAATTAGCCATAGTACTAGCAACAATTGCAATTCACTTAGGAGAACTGATTTGTTTTAAATCTTCCCATCCAAATTAAAAAGCATGAGGAAAAGATAATGTGCAGTAAGTAAAACATATTACTCTATCTTGCATTATTTATCTGTACCCCGTGGCTGTCTGAGACCCTTAGGTCTAAATCCTGCTCTCTGTTCAGGTCAATTCCTGTCAGTCAGAGCTCTTCTGGAGAAAGAACTCTGGTAGCTGGCCCATAGTATTTCTTTAATTTATGTATTCTTTATATTCTCTAGTGTTTTAGCTAATTCTTAATCCCATTTTAAATTGTGTTAAGCAGTCCAGTGGCTTTCATTTGTAGCTTGGTCACTGCCATCTCACTTGCCTTTCACAGCTCCTTTGCCTTTTTTCTGATGAAAATATGTATGAGTAGCGGGAAAGAGGTATTTGGGTTTGGGAAAAGGGGAGAATAGGGGGGAGGTTGTGACACATCTGTTAATTGATACTTAAACTGGAATTCTTCCTGACATATTTTTCTGAAGAAAACATTTTGCACATCATCTCACCACTTCCCTTCTTATTCAAATACTGATACTTGATTTATTGCTTGCAACAAAATTAGTTTTATATCTAGTATTGACTTTGAAACATACATAATTTCCTTTAATACTCTGAGACAGTAATGAGGTCTTTCTTGACGTGCTGTATTCACATTTATTTAAGGTACTATTCATTTCTGTACCCATAATATACATGCACTTTTATCAGTCAGGAACATCCCTTTGTTCTTGTGGAGGCGTGAATACTCTTTCCATAGACTGGAATTAGTGTCACTTTATAAAGACAGTTTTGACACTCCCTCTTATAAGTAACTGAGCAAAGTACCTCTCATACATTAAGATACTTGAAGTGTATGATTTTTCTATAGTTATTTTCTGTTAAATTTGAATGCAGTGTAAACTGTACAAACTGTACAAAAAGTTACTTAAAGTAAACTCTGACCATACTATCCTGTATCAAGAATCAGAGACATTGCAATAATTCTATAAATCAATCTGATCATTTTACCTCAGTTCACTCAAGTTACAAGGGTTACTCATCCATGCATGTACCAAAGCACCCTTAAACAAAATTCCAGTGAGACCAGTAGATCTCACAGAACATAATTTCTTGCGATGGCTGTTACGTATGCATGTGAGGCGCTCTGTTTAATGGTATTTGTGTACAATTCTCCAGTGATCAATTGGTAAATGTTCAGTATTCTGGCTGCAGGTCATAAATGTATAGTGTCTTCTCCAGTGTTATGGGCAGAAGGAAAAATATGATGCTGTGGTTTCACTGACCAAATTGAAACTGTTTGGGAGATGCATGATTTTTTTTATATTTATTAGTACTTTTTTACACTTTTAATTGTGGCTTTTGCAGTACAGAGTTAACTTTTTATATGCAGGCTTTATTGGTTACCTGGTTGTTTATTTTTTCTTTATACCTTAGGAAAAACATAGGTGCTTTTCCAGAAAGGGACTAAGATATTGATTTTGAAGCTTAAGTGTTTGTATTTCGGGGAAAAGAAATGGGCATTAGAAATTCAAGAGGATGTTTGCAGCTGGCTTTTGCTATAACTCTGTTTTCTACATGGCAGAAAGAATGGACAACTAGAGTACTTTTTTTTGGTCTTTTTAACTCTCATTGCAAATCTGCCAACTCATTTTGGCAGCCTTACAGATTTACAGAGTGCTTTCCCCCAGCTATAAATTTTCGCAGCTATAAGGAAAGATAATTTTTGTGATTATGGCATTGAACTGTGACATAACACAGCTGTTGTCTGTAGCCTTTTTGGTTACCTTCAGCAAGTTACTTCATTCTTTTATGCCTCAGTCTTCTATCTGTAAAATGTAATATTATTATAGTAGGCTTTTCTTTGTTATGCCTCACATATTAATGAATGTATTCCTGTATCACTTTCCTACTTCACAGAAGTGCTGAAAGCATATGTTCATTAATATTCTTGAAGCATGACAAAGAAAAGCCTATTACTGTAATACGCTTTGCTTTAAAACTTGTTAGAATAATAACGATAAACAACATTGGTTACGCTTTGGCCATACTGTACAGAAATAAAATTATTACATACTCAGACTTAAACTGATGTAAAACTTTGATGTATTGTAATGTCCCTCTCCTATACTCATGCAAAAAAAAACCCCTAAAAATAATATTTCACATTGACCAAAATGGGTTGTATCTCTTCGTTGGCATATGTATCATACAGGGATCCAAGAACGGCTTTTTGCCTGCTACATCATCCTTAGCTGCTTGTTTCAGTATCATGTAGTCTTATTCTCTCTGTGTATATCCTTCGGTGAGGTGAAGAGAAGCTTGAAACGGACAGTTATGAAACGTCTTGCCCATAGGAAAAGCTTCTTCCTAACCTCATTAGTAATTGTCTGAGAAATGACCAGGAGCATGACAGTTTATATTTCCCTGCTATTATTTCCCCTAATAACTGTGGATGTTCTTATTACATTTCTAAATTACTGTTCTCAGAGGTGGCTTGAACAGAAGGTATTTCATTTTATCAGGTTCAGATTGATTGCCTCAGTGTTTCATTGAATACCCCCTTGTTCTTGCACTGTAAGAAGCAGTAGATAGGAGTCCCCCGTTTCTTTTCTTCATAGCGTGTTGTATCATACATCCCTTGGTTTGTCTCCTTTGTCTTGGTTTATTTGATTTCTTTATACAAAGAACTGCCCAAGCTCATTTTGGACAGATGTTCCTAGAGCCCTTCGGATCTAAGCACAGTACTCGGGCAATACTTATTTAAGAAAACAGGATGTTTTTCCTTATTTAAGAAAATAGGATGGTACTTTCTAACACTGCATATATTTATTACTGTTTTTGTTCCTTTACTTTCTTTTCATTTAATAGTTTTCAACTCAGTGAGACTTATGTTTGCTTCTTTTCCTTTTTTTTGGCTATACATCTGAGAAAGCAAGTGCAATTAATGGCGAAAACGTCGCTACATTTCTGATAGTTTTAACAGCTGCAGGCAGTTCAATATTTTGACTTGGTTTTTTAATGCTGTCAGTGTTTTCAGCAATATCATAGTAGAGATATTGGAGATAAAGACGGAAGGCCAGCAGCCCCAATATATATATTCTTTCTACTTTCTGTTCTTATTACAAAAAAATATTAAAATGTTTAAATGCCTCCACTGGATATCTAACACAGTTCTTCTAAAAACTGACAAGTGCGAACTGGAAAGCAAAATCCCATTAATACAGAGTTGGAGAGTGTCACTGTGCCATTACATATGAAGTCTGGAATGCTCTGGGCCTTGCATAAATCCCAGCAATAAAAGAAATGCCAGTGAGAATCTCACAACATGTTCAGTCAATTAAAATATATCTATTTGACTTTTCTTTCCTTTGCAGACCACAGATGACATCCTGGTGGCCTCGGCTGAATGTCCTAGCGATGACGAGGACATCGATCCCTGTGAGCCGAGCTCAGGTGGGTTAGGTTAGTCAACTTTTTTATTACTTTCTTTTATTTCATATTTGCATGCTCCAGTCCCCCAGAGTCCCATCTAGCGGGACAGACCTTTCTTACATAGCAGGGAGAAGTTGAACTGGGGCCTTTCTACACATGGCAGTGTCAGTGGAGAGGGAGAGTTTGCTATACGTTTTTCAAAGACAACGGATGGGAGCACGTTGATAGTCGTGATCTGAGGCAGGTTATAGCTTGACCAAGGACCTGAGGCTGGGCTGGGTAGGGCATTCTGGGGCCCCTGCAACTGTGTTGTCGTGATAAAGGGACAACTTCATTTAGGAGAAAGATGTTGCAATTGCTTGCGCCTTAAGCATTTCCCCCAAATAAGATAAAAGTACCATATTTCAAGTGTCATATTATGTCAGCAGTAGAAACAGAGTTAATTTTGAATTACTGTTTATGGTATGAAATACAGTATAGATGGTAAAATACCATCTGAAGACATAGAATACAACAGTCTCGAATTTCAAATTGTTTTATAGAAAGATGTTGCAATTGCTTGCGCCTTAAGCATTTCCCCCAAATAAGATAAAAGTACCATATTTCAAGTGTCATATTATGTCAGCAGTAGAAGCAGAGTTAATTTTGAATTACTGTTTATGGTATGAAATACAGTATAGATGGTAAAATACCATCTGAAGACATAGAATACAACAGTCTCAAATTTCAAATTGTTTTACGGCTTTTTTCCAAGCCAAGACAATTCAGAGTGTATGTTTCAGTTCTGATTAGAAATGAAAAATTTTGACATTCTAGTATTTTCCGTGGAACAAAATATTTGTAGTGTTTTGGCCACGTCTTTCCTACTCCCCCTGAATAATGGAGATTTGGTACTAATTTTTCTCTCTGATACGATTTCCCACTTACCTTTATATTCAATTAATACTACATACCTTCTCTAAAAATCCAAATGTTTATCACAGATGTGAAAGGAATGCAAAACTTCATAATAGCAATTTGAAGAATTATATTACTCTATAACCTTTAAAAAATCCCATATGTCCAATGACTTACTCCTGCTTTCTTTGTTGGTTTGAGTTAGCTTTTACCTTTTCTGAGTGAACAGCTTGTGGTACCATATATATCTCAGTTTTTCTTATTCACTTGAATCCTGTGATATTTGGTAGCGAGCTTACTGTCAGTTGTTTTAGGTAATTTGGTAGTCTTTGGTACTTGCTATAATACTTAATAGTAAAAGAATTAAGATCAATTTGTTGTGCAGTAACATATTTAGTTCAGGTAGAAATGAATTAAATTTGAGACTAGTGTATTAACGCGTATCACAACCGAGAGCCATCTTAGTACAACGCTCAAATCTGGGGCAGGGGATATGTCTACATAGCCTTAAGTCAAATCAGATTTTCCTTCAAATGCAGATGCGTGGTTCCTTTTTGAAGTCACACAGCCTAATACCCCCATGCAAAAATTATTTATTTAAATTTAAGTAAAGGCAGAGACATTTATGACTTGTTTCAGTGTTTGATGGACCTGCAGGATGGCATTTGAGCTCTTCCAGGAACCAAGATATTTGTAGATTTGATGAGAATAGTTTGGGGCTGGTTTCTTTTGCTTTCCAATGAAATTTTCTGGCCAAAAATATTGCTGACATTTTTCAAAATGCCATGAGATGGAATAACCATTCTTAAAACTGAGCAGCAACAGGTACACCCACCTTACACATTTTTTACACCTCTCAGGAAGACATTTCACTTGCAGAAGGCCCATGACTTCATGAGGAAGTTATTTGGGAATTGTGATGAGAATTCATTTTTTGAAAGTTTGAAAATTAATTTCCAGGATTTTTTTTTCTGCTCTTTCCTTCTTATTTTCAGCTTCTTGAGTTTAACAAGACTGTGTCTTGTCCATTACGAGTCAATGCAGTAGCTCAGATGGCTCTGAACTCATCCATGCCAATTGCTTCCTTGCTTTAGTTAACTCAGGCAGTGCTGTTCAATAGATACATTTACATTTATCTACTGTAAATATAGATTATTTTAATAATTCTTTTGAAATTTGATAAAGTAAATGTAAAATAATAATTAGTTACCTACCACTAAAAAATTTTCCAAACCCTCTTAGAGTGCAGCTGTTGTATTAGAAATGTATTTGCATTACCTCAGCCTTACAGTTTGCTGAAAGCAAATGAAATTTCCGAATAATTATTCTCTGGGGTTGTTTTGAACTTCAGATCTGGGGCTGCAATGCTCAGTAGTCCTGGAGCCAAGCACAGTCATTTGGCTGGTGGGTGCAGGAACGGGAGGGGTGAAATGAGGCTTTCTGACAGGTTATCATTTCTGTCCAAACTGTGGTCCAGAAGGGGAGTGTGAATGTTACTTTTCCTGCAAAACCTTGCCATTAGCTTTACATCTTTGTGTTTACTTTCTGGTTTTAGCTTATCATTCATCACCCAGCTCCACTTCTCATTTTCGTCTATTTGAGAATGGTTTGAGCGTTTCATTTCTTGGATCCCAACTGCTACTGCTTTTTAAAAAAAGTATGGATTGGCATAGGAATTATGTTCTCCATAATCCCAATTGTCTGGATCATTTTATCTGTCATTCTTCACGTCAAAATGTCACTTGTCCTCCTACTCTCAACTCTTAAAAGCTATTAGTTTGCCTCCCTCTTCACTGGCCTTGTCCTTTTCTCATATTTGAAACAACATGAACCAAAGGGGTTACTGGAGTCATAACTGCTAGCATATCTGTCTCTCTATAAGCTGTTTTAGTCTTAGTCACTTAGTCTTATGAATAAGCTTTCTCCATGAATAGTCAGTCCTGTAGGCACTGCTCCATCTCAATAATACTGCAGTCTCCATATGGATTTGAGCTACTCCTAACAGTAGGCTGGAACTTAAGGGAGAAAAGCATAATATCGTTGACAGTGACAGATTAATGATTTTTTTTTCTTTTCATTTGCGATAGGAGTTGCAAAAGGATTTGTCCCTCCATTTAAATTCTTCCCATGGCTCAGTTCAACTTTTTCCCCTTAACCCTTTTCGCAAACCAGAGTTGCTTCTCCACAGCTACTCCTTAACATCCTCACTAATGGTGGTGAAGCTTATGTTTCCTAACAGATACTTCTAGGAGGCAGAAATTATGATGATTCGGACAATTTTATGTTTTCACTTCAGAGGCCGTAACCTGAGATCCTGTTAGATTTCTTCTCTTGCTGCCTAACGGTCAGACAGCAAAGGGATCCACCCCAGCACAAGAGACGATGCAGCACACTCGGAGCTCTCAGGTCAACAGTTTTATAGCAAGAATACGTTTAAGGGATGGCCCGAGCCCATTCAGTTTTATTGACAGCCATAAATGTACATCTACATGATCATTGCCCATAATACGCCTATTTCTAACCAAAGTTCTCAGCTCAAAATGAGAGCCTATTCAACAAACAGTTTGAATATGGTGAACCTATATATCACAGAAACTACTGATATGCTAGATTTTACTGATCAGCGAGATTTATGCTTAAAATAGGGCTTCTTTTCTAGGATAAATATGCTGCAGTTTGTAGTGGCTAACAAGTCTTGGTCTGCCACCACCAGCTTCGCGTTCTGTGCACCTGTCTTCTAAATAATAAATGGAAAGATGCAATTTGCAACAAATTTCATATGGGACATAAAAACGTAGACCAGACTAGGAGCTGCTAAGCAGCAATCCCATCAACTTGTCTGGAACATAAAGTCACAAAAATTATAATTGCAGATTTCATTGTGGTATACAAACTGCTAAATGTGCTGTAATTGGATGAAGTCATAACAAATTTATTAGCATGCAAAACATAGTCAACATACTTTGTTTGCATTATGTTTTGTATAGTAAGGCAATACATATTGTTTTCACAGTCTCTCCACATTCCCCTCTCCTACTCTAAATACTAATAACAACACGAAGAATGATGATAATAATAATAAATAATAATAGTTTATGTTCCTCAGCTTTGTGTCATAGAAGAAATAATAAAGCCTTTTCTTTTTATAGACAAGTTATTAAAAATGTTAGTGGAAACCCATCAAAAAAAAAAAAAAGACCTGGGATGATTTACTGATTTTACTTATAAAACTGCAGGTGGACAAATTGCCATTCTGCACGTCAGGGCGGCTGTTCCAGCCTTTCCTGAGCTCTGTACAGCGCTCTGATTTCTGCTGAGTTTCAGTGATCATTTGTGCTACACAGTTTATTTGTTCCAGTTACACTGGGCTGGTATTTCATTTGTTAGCTATTATCTAGCCACTTCTGTAGCTATTGAAATGTTCCGAAACACAGAGAAGTCCAAACTGGGTCAAATGAAGTGAAATCATTGAGTTTAATGGCAGGGAAATCTAGACCAGGGAAAAGTCTTACAGTTTTTAGCACATGCACAAACAGTTCTTTTTCTGCAAATTACAGTTAAATCCTTCTCAAACTCGGGACTTGACAAAGCTTTAAGTTAAAAATTAGGTTCAAAACCTCTCCTAATGGCCCCAGCAGAAATGGGATGGACAGAGGTTTTGGCAGTCTTAAAGCCAGAATATATGGTATTTGCTGGTCTTGGAAGTTTTAGCAAAAGACAACCTTCAGAGTGAAAAAATGGTCTTGTAGAAACAAGCTTTTTTCAGGTTCAAACAAGTATCTTTCTACCAACAGTTCACACGTTGCAAGCAAATAAAATACTTCTTCATCTCTTGATCAGCGTTTGTCTGGCAGTTCTTGGGTTCCACTTCTCAGGATACCAGGTTTCACTGGTATCAGATATTGTCCTGTACTTGTTCTGTAGGTAAATAGGATAAGAATAGTCAGGACAGAGTTCAGTGATGTATACCGACTGGTAGCATTAGTTACCTTTCTTAGCCCTGATTCTTGATTCTGAGGAAGAAATGGGATCAGTTATTTTCCTACATTATTAAGTAAGGACCAACAATAGGATAGATGCTTATGGACTGATCTTTGAGCATGTGTTGATTTTCCTACATCTTG